AGCAGTTCTCTGCTTTTCTCTTTCCTTTGCAGCCATCAGCAAGGCGAAAGGTGAGGTTGAGGTCTCTTTCTTTACTGAGCCGTCTGCGCCCCGCGTGTTAAGATGTCGGTGGTTCAAGATAGGGCTGTACTTGCGAGGCCTGCCAGGGGACGCAACTGGGGTCACCACCTGCCTAACATCCGTTATCCTTTTCTCTATTTTGGGTGAGATTTTGATTGGTGCTGGTACCTCAGTGGGGATGTTTTGTGGTGTTACAGGCTCAGGATTGATTTTGGGCTCTACCTTAGCTTGTTCTCTTGGAGCTTGTGCCATGTCTGGCTGGTCATCCTGTAGATGAGTGGCGGAGCTGTTCCGACGGGCTGGTTTGGTTGGTAGCCCCCCTGGTTGGAAAGATTCAGCATTTTTCCCACTATTGCCATTGACAACACCAACCGTGTTTCCAGCAGAATCTTCCAGCAGCAGAATGGACTGAACTTTTTTTTCCCTATCTGTCTGTCCACCAAGAAGTGTGCTCTTCTGCACACTGTAGAGTTTTGCTGTGTTCTGGGGGTTGAAGCTAGATGGTGTTGGGTTGGAAGCAACGGGTGGCACAGGAGTTTGGGACTGGATGTCCAGATTGGGTATGGAGGACATTCGAACGGGTTTTGGAGGTGCTGCTTTCTGAGCTTTTGCAAGAACCGGTGATGCTTTCACAGGTGGTGGAGGTGGGTTGAACTTGGGGCATTCTGGGAAATCTTGGACATCCAGGCTAGAGAGGGAACCTCTGAGGCTGGAAGTTTCAGATGGAGGTTTTGGAGGACGCATTGGAGGAGGTTTGAGGGAGGCCAGGTTCAAATCTGCACTGTAATTGGAACTGGTAAGTGATGGTGGTTTTGGGGGTGCCATTGGAGGGGGATGCAGGCTTGCACGATCTAAAGAAGGGTCCATTTCGCCAAAGAACTGTGGTAGGGGAGGGATGAATGATGGAGGGGGTGGAGGAGCGGAGCTAGGCGGAGGAGGTACAAGTATTTCCCCCTTGAGTAGGTCAGGGACAGAAAGCATCTTTCCATTTGGGAGGTTTGTAGTACTTCCTACAAATAGACAATGTGAAAATCAACCACAGGTTCATTAAAACACTTCAGCATGTTGAAAACATGATTTACTTGCTCCCATATTTAAGTTCTAGTGTTCCCTGATCAAAGACAAGAAGTTAACTATTCCTGGTCATCATGTTTGTTGAGTTCTGTGCTGTGAACTCACCTGTACCGTTTATCTTGGGCTCATTGAAGGGCGGAAGAACCGGTACCTTGGGAGTTGGAACTGCAAAGCCTTGCGCACTCTCAGACGACTGGGATTTAAAGAGAAGCATATGTCAGCCACATCTTGATTAAAGGAGACTGTTAGAAGGTAAGGGAGTCTACAGCAATAGCACACCTTTTATTGTAGGAGCCACTGAGTCAGAGTTTGAATTTCTAGGCACCAAACCAACCAGTTTCAGAGAGCTTATGACGTTCAAGGACATGGATCCCTTCTCTCGACTTAGCTCCTTCTTTCCTTCTCTTTATTTCTCTGAGACATGCTTAAACTGTTGAGAAACTGCAGGACCCATCCTGATTTCATACTAACACGTGGGATGAATAGGGTGAAATAATGTTCCAGATGCGTTTCTGTAAATCAGGTGAGGCAGATTCTTGGACACTCCTCACCAACACCCCATAATGTCAATGATTGTTAATGAAACATTCAGGTTGCTACAACAGATGCACTGAATGTAATTTCTCTAAAAAATGGAGCATAACCTGTCTGATAAAAGTTTAATTCAGAAATACTTTGATAATCTTTCCTTATAGACAACTTCAGTTGGATTACTATAAAATTACTTGACTTTCATTCCTGTTCTTTCAGTTCACTGACATGCAAAAAGGGACACACCCCTTAAACGTGTGTTTGTGTTTCAGGTTTTGCTGTCTTTATAGGATCATCTCTCCAGAAAAATAACACAACCTGACATAACCTTCAGGTGTGGACATCCTCACAAAGAAAAAAGACTCTAGAGTGACCTAACATCATGCATAAACATTGTGAAAGTTGTGTTATATGATTAGTGGTACAGTTAGTCTACATTTACACGTTTGCCAGATGCTTTTATCCAAAGCAACTTGCGTGAAAATGTGAGTGGTGTTTGCTCGTGCAAAAGTCCCTGCTGTCATTGCTTATTGGCCAAAAGAACCCATCTTGAGGGTTTTCACCCGTATTATCCTCCAGAAGGTGAACACTGAGCATCTGCAGGATCTTAACTCTAAACATTCAATACTAACCCGGAGTATGAGCCATAATAATAGTAACACTTGCCTTAGCAAACACCAATACTTAGCTCAAACACGGGATGTGCGTACGTCTGCCTGATCTCTTCTGTACACAAACAAAACGTGTATTCAAAACAGCACCTGCAGGTTTGGATAACTCGGCCGGAACACACCCGCATCTGTACGACGTCTAACCTCAGCATGGAACAACCGGAGGAACACGTGAATCATCAGGATCCTGTGATCTCATGAGGTG